CTTCTATGATATAATTAGAAATAATAAAAAGTAGTTTAAAAAACAGTACAATTAAAACAGTTCCATAGCCTCATTGAAGGCTTTTTTGTAAAAATATTCAGTTCTAAAAAGCACACAGGAATGAAAACATCTTTACCTGCCAGTCACAGGACAGCTAGGAGAGATCATTTTAACCTTCCTAGGGACAGCCACTGAGAAGGTCCTGTATGATGTCTATGTAAGCCAGGCTGTGGAAGTGGTTTAATCTGTTGTTGTTTCACCCGTCTTTAATCTGTTTGATGCATAAGGAGAAGCAGGTAAGAAATAATTAAAATTTATCTGGGCTTGGACCCAGAGAAATGCAAGACTGCTTACTTTCTCACTTAGGGCCTTTGCAGACTACTAGAAATAGTGCAAATTGAGTCCACTTTAAGAGTTAGGGTTAGGGTTGGGGAATCATGGGAACTGTATTTTATTGTGGGACCAGAGCTCTCTGACAGAGAAGGCTCAGTGTCTCAGAAAAAAAATTCCCATGATTCCCTAGCACTGACCCTAACCCTTAAATGGACTCTTTTTGCACTATTTCTGGCAGTCTGCAAAGGCCCTTAGACACTTATTCACCAAGCCTCTTTCTTCTGGTGATAATGCTCCCAACTGGGAATCTTGAAAACAGTATTCTGTGAAATATGATCCTTCTGTGTTCACACATAGAAGTTTTTTTCCATGAGCTCACAGAGGGTTTTTTTTTTAATTCCAAGACATTTATGACCAAAGTTTTGAGTTTGTTGTAGGAGCCTGATGTTTAAAAGTAAGCATGGCATGTGTAAACACTTTGTATGGACCAGGAGTTAATTGTTGCCCCTTCTGTTCTTCACCAGGTGAAAAAACCTTTGAGATCCATGCATTGCCATTCTTGCAACTCATGTGTAGCTCGGTATGACCAGCATTGCATTTGGATTGGACAGTGCATAGGTGAGTTTATTTTAGCCACACTAGGATTTCTCTGTTGGTGCCAGGAAAGTTTCTGAAAATTTGAAAGGAGAACCCTTAATGAATCATGCAGAGAATGCCTGGTAGTTGAGTGTTATATGAAAGGATGTTGACAAGCTGCACAGGGAACTGGAAGCAATTCAACTCCACATTCTACAGTATAAGAGCACAGTAGTTTTAGATGGCATTTGCACAGCTTAGATATTGTTTAATGGTCTCAGCCTGAAAAACTTAAACATATTTATGTTAATTCTGGTTTTATTGTGAGTTCTAATTGTACTATTAAATTGCAGTTCTGTATACAGTCATTTAGGTAGGTTTCACTGAACGCAGTGGGACTTTCTTCATAGAAAACAAATATTTTCCCACTCTACAGTGTTGTTGGGTGCCTTCAAGTCATTTCCAACTTATGCAAACCCTAAGGTAAACTTGTAATTGGGTTTTCTGAGGCTGAATGTATATGATTTGCCTACAGTCATTCAGTGGGTTTCCATGGCCAAGTCGGGAATTGAACCCTGATCTCAGAGTTGTAATCCAATATTCAAATCACTACACCACTCTGGCCTTCACAATGTGTTGGCACTCAATTTATTTGCCTATAAATGCTGCCTTGGTGAGCTTGAAATATGTAAATTGTGCTCATCTTTTCCTATATTAATTTTTTTATAAAAAGCTTTCCATGATGTAGGGGTGGAGATAGCTGCTTGGAAAGGGATATTGTCTTATGACCGTGACACAAATAATCTTCATATTTTTTGTTCTAGGTGTTGGCAATCATTTTTATTTCCTCCTGTTTCTCCTTTTCCTGACAATTGTGAATATTTGGGCTATATATGGAACAATTCTGTGTATGTATTCTTTGTTCTTATTTTATATTTTGCTAGAAATTGCTATGCGTTGATTCCTTATGCTGTATGTGTAGTATTTCATTCAGAGGTACTGTGTCATAGTCTGATTAAAATATTAATGAGCTTGAGTCATGGCCTGTGATATGAATGGTATTCAAGAAAAATAAACCTGAGTGCTTTTGGAAAAATACCTCCCAGTTCTACCGTCCAAAAGGCACTCTGCAACTACTCTATCATCCCTTCCTTAATAGATTGCTGTTGTTTTTTATGGTAATTTAAAAAATTGAAGGAATGAGGAAGTATGGCCTTTATAAATAGAAGGTGCTGGTGGCTGAACCCCTTTGAAATTCTGCATAGAGTGATTGCACAATAAAGACTTGTCTGGAAGCACTTCATACGTTTATTTCTGTCAGCATATTACAAAGCTTTTGCCACGCGTGTGTACATGCACAAAGTTAGATAATAGGGAGTAGAACAAAGGCCTATTCTTTTTAATTAGGAAAGCCTGTGCATATAGAACAATATATTAGGGTAAGAGTTTGTTCTCATTTAAGAAAGTTTTTCTGCAGAGAGATTTTTGATCCTGGGCATAGTATAAAAGCTGCAACCCACCTTTATCTCAGAGTTAAGCTGTTACTGTTGGTAGTTAAATATGTGGACAATAGGTTGAAAAAAATGTACAAACTGGAGTCCAAAACACACTGCAGAAACAATCCAGCTTGAGGCTGCTTTAACTGCTTTGGTTCAATGCTAGAGAATACCGGGAACTGTAGTTTTGTGAGACATTTAGCCTTCTCTGTCAGAGAGCTCTGGTGCCACAATAAACTACAATTCCCAGGATTCCCTAGCACTGAGCCAGGGCAGTTAAAGCAGTCTCAAACTGGATTTTTTCTGCAGTGTGTTTTGCACCTGGGTCTTGTGGGTAGTCTACCACAATTCGTTTTTTAAGTACTTCCTTATTAAAATTCATATTTAAAAATTCTCTCTTAGATTGGTCAGAGCACTGCACAACAACATACCAGCAAGATGGAGCATGGACTTCATTCACACAGATTGCGTATTGTTCTCCATGGGTGTTGTACATTTTTATCCTCATATGTTTTCACACTTCATGGGCTACATTTCTGCTAGTCCTTCAGCTTTATCAGGTACTGCTTGATTTTATTTAATCCTTAGAAACATTGTACTCTTGTTACTTTTCCTCAGCAGCCTGCATTAGTGTTGTACGTAATTAACATTTTAAAAAATGTGATTTTAGAAATAGCTGCCCAATAATCCTGCATTAATAGAAGTAGTTATAACAGTGACATGGCTACTTCTGCCAGTGCTAACCCTCCCCCCTCAAAAAAGCAATGTCTTTTAAGCCAGCCAGTACCCCAACCCAAGAACATCACTGGAGAGTGTGAGGGTGTGGGACCCACGAGGGACATCCTAAGTGAGACCGTAACACCACTGCATTCCAAACATCTACCTTTTGGCAGCAGTGGGCTGTGGTGTTCACCTGCATCCCTTTAAAATGCTGCAGAGATAGTGTGTGTGTGTGTGTGTGTGTGTGTGTGTGTGAGGGGGGAATTTAAACCCTTTCCTGCCAATACACCTCTTGCTCCACCTTCTGCTGCCCCTCTGCAAGGCATATGGGCGACAGAGCGGTTTAAAATCTGGCAGAGACTTCATGATGAGAAATGGGAAATAGTGCAGGAAGAATTCATGCCTGGTGCCCAGACCTTGTTGCTCTTACATAAGGACAAAGGGGAAGGTCTGCCAGAAAATCCCCAGCAGTGGTATTTTCTTACCCTGAACACACTGAATAGAACTACTTCCTTAGGAGATGTGTGGCTTTATATTGCCATAACCTACTGCAAATGAATTGGCACATTGGGTTACCTGTAACATTTTCATGTGTAGTAAACGTTTACTGTTGACAACATTATGTTCTAATAATGGAATGGAGGAGAACAAATGGTCCTGGTGTCAGTTTCTAAAGATATGGTATTAATAATAATCTCTGCAGCCCAGTGGAGTGATTAATATGGAACTGAAATTTTTTCATAGCTAAGCTATGCATCATTACTCTGTGTTAAACTAATCCTCTGTGACCTCTGCAGTTAAGCTAGCTTCTTTATATGTGTGTTAAAGAAGATAGTAGCTTGGCTTCACAAAATAGGTATTTGCTTGTTTGCTTTTAGCCAAGAAGTAAATGATAGGTTGTATACATTGCTGGCTGTCACCCAGTGGAATGCAGATTGTTGGTGGGAAATGGATTTTCCCTTCCCATTGCAGCTTCCTGTTTGCCCCCTTCCCCTTCAGGGTTGGAGGACCATCCAGAAGAGATTTGGGCCATTGTGCAAACAGAGTTTGTGTACTCAGTGCTGGATTCAATCCATTGTACAGTGTTTTAGCAGTGTTTTGTATGTGGATTTAATATAATTTCAGCTCTTTTTCTCATATCCATCCTGCTTAAGCAAGGGTTGGGAAACTGGGCAACAAGCACTCCAAAGCTAAAATTGTCCTAGCCAGTGAAATGTATTGGGGTAAACATTTTCCAACAGACACTACTTAAGGGAAGGCATTGTTAATCTTCCTGAAACCAGAAATAGCCTGGGACAAAGAAAATAAACTAAGAAATGCAATTATGCTTTTCACTGAGGTAGGTTTTGGTCCCAACCAGTGGAAGGGAGTGAAACAAAAATGACCCATATGGCCTTGTGGCAGACTGCTTGCTTAGAGTTATAAAATACCCATAAAACCATGTATTTATTACATTATTAATTTATTTTTAACTACTTATACCCTACCCTATATCAAAGATCTCAGTTTTTAAAATCAGTTTATCAATTTATTTGTGTGTGTTTATAAAACAAAAAGTAACGAAACTTTTGACAAAAAAGCTCCTCCTTATAAAGTCTTTTTAACGCTGCCCAGACCCCTTTTTATTATTTTATCTAGCTAGACCTTTTTTTAACCAGCATTCACATTGGGAAGATGATGAAGAAGGGCTGGAAAACCCAGACATTTGGTGATGACTTATAGCAAGATGTCTGCAATATTTATTTATTTTATGTATATCTCTAAAAATGAAATAAATACATAAATACAATATTATTGCTCTCCTCTGACATAGATGCCTTCAAGAACATAATTCTAGTGGATAAATGTTTAAACTTCTATCAAGTTTAGTTTGGAGCCAGCATGGTGTAGTGGTTTGAGTGTTGGATTAGGGCTCTGAAGAACAGGGTTCAAATCCCCATTCAGCCATGGAAAACCAGTGGATAACATTGGCAGGTCACATTCTCTGTGTCAGAGAGAGGCAAAGACAAACCCCCTCTAAACAAATCTTACTAAGAAAACACTGTAATATGGTCACCTTAGAAGGCTTAGAGTCATTATAGATTGGAAACAATTTGAAGGCACATAACAACTTTAATTATTAGTATTGCCTCGCTTCCAATTCCCATTTAACTGAAAAACGGTTTGCATGGCTTGATTAAAATTCATGAAAATATTTATTGTATTGTGGATACCCCTGATACATTAGTTGATTCTTTATGTCTTTTGATATTGCATTGATTTTCAGTTTCTGTTTTCCTATTTTATCCCTTTCTTTCAAGATTACATTTCTCGGATTGACCTCGCATGAGAGGATTACTCTCTGGAGGCAGAGTAAGCATTCAAAGCATCCTGTTTCACTCAGGAAAACTCCATATAAGTAAGTAATATTTGGAGAGATCCATTCTTTTTGCAAAATTATAGAACTGCTGATCAAGTAATAAAATGTTAACGATAATGTAATATGTATGATATAATCCTTGTGATGGTGGTAGTTTCAGTTTCTCTTATTAAATAATAAAGATGAAAAATGTATCATTCTATTTAAAATCTGTTTTAACAAAAGCATATGGTCTTATACTGGATGTTTTCTGGTTATATGTACATTGTAAAGCAGGGGTAGGCGACCTAAGGCCCGGGGGCCGGATGTGGCCCCCTGAGGCCTTTGGATCGGCCCCAGACCGGTCCTGCCGCCACCGCTGGCGTCGCGACCCACCATGATGATATTATTGTTGTTATTCCTTGTTCTTGGGGTTTTCTTGGCAAAATCTCCACAGGGGTTTTGCCATGGCTTTTCTGGGGCTGAGAGTGTGTGCATGCATATATTTTTTTTAAAAAAATAAAATTTATTTATTTATTTATTTATTTATTTATTTATTTTTGGTGCTTTGGCCCCCCAATTGTCTGAGGGACAGCAACCTGGCCCCCGGCTCAAAAAGGTTGCCTACCCCTGTTGTAAAGGGTTCAGGATTCTGGCTACAGACTCAGGTTAAGGTGCTTAGGAGGAAGGGAAAGGCTACCTTCTACAGACTTATTCATTAGAAAGATGGATGAACAACACACCTCTTTCAGGATACGCAGATCACAGTCTTGATGCATTCTATCGGTGTAGCTATACTGAATTAGATAGGAGTGGCAGAGGCTGTTGGTGCATTGGCCATAAAGGAAGGCTGGCATTAGAGAAATCGGTTGCTCAGTGGCTGCAGCCATCCCTCGCTGCTACTGCATGATCTTGGAAATACTGGATTCAGGCCATTATTGGAAATATTACAATGTAATGTGTGAAAACAAGTGCAAGTTTTTGACTGGCAAAGTAGCACCCTTGTATGCCCTCAAACTCTGCCCTGGAGGTTTGGGGAGTCCACTGTATCAGAGGTTTGGGCTGTGTTGGGGCTACTGGGTAGAACAGAGAGGGACGGACCCAGATGTTTGGGCTGTGTTGGGGCTACTGGGTAGAACAGAGAGGGACGGACCCAGTTGGCTGCAGTAGAAAACTCTTATCCTTGGTAGTAAGGAATACCACTGAAAGCCTAGTCACTATATGTATTCATAGGGTCACCATATGTCAAAGCCAACCTAACAGCAGATAACAAAGAACAAGCAAACAATTTTATCTCTGATAATTACTTTAATATTCAAACAGCTCTCTTATGCAAAAATGTATTTAGGCATAACCTCCATGTTCAATGGATAGTGGGCAATGTAAAAGTCTACCTGAGCAACTTGCTATTTAGTACAATGTCTTCTTGTAACTCCTCAGCTGTCCTTGCTTGTGTAATAGTTGTACAGCATCTTTGGAACTTCATATAGCATCAGTTTCAAGAGATGGGAAAGAGAGCTATTTTGATCACAGGAATCATAGAATTGGAAGAGACCACAAGGGCCATCCAGTCCAACCCCCTGCCATGCAGGAACTCTCAATCAAAGCACCCCAACAGATCCAGGAGTGAAACTATTCATTTTTGGGAGGAGGTCTGTGGACTGCAAAACATTTTCCAGGCAGGGTCAGCTTATGACCCATGAGCTACACTTTTCCTGCCTCAGCGCTAAATCATAGAACTCCATTTTTTGCAAAGTGCCAGATACTTCTTGTGAATGGTTAAGAGATTGTCAGTTCTCTCAAGGTATGAAAGGATCTTGCAGCACCTTTAAGAATAACTGAAAGAAAGATGCTGGTAGCATGAGTTTTCATAAACTTGAGTCTACTTCCTCAGATGCACAGGGGAGTAGGCTCAAGTCTACAAAAGCTGGTGCTACCAGCATCTTTCTTTCACTTAGTCTCAGAGGTGCCACAAGATCCCTTTGCATACTGATTTTCCAGACTAACACAGTTATCTCTTTAAAAAGTATGAAAGGGACAACCATGTTGCATCGCTTCTGTTTCACAATTTTGATTTGCAATAAATGTCTTCAGTGTCCTAGAGAAAAGACCCTGCCATTTATCTAGATTAGGAGAGGGCAGATGTGGCCTTCCAGATGTTTTTGGCCTGTGGCTCTCAATATTCCTCATCATTGGCTATGCTGGCAAGACTGATCAAAATTGTTCTCACAAAAAGGCCCTTCACTTAAATGTATCATACCTGTAAGTCATGTCAGTTCCCCCCGCCCCCGATATATTTCAGGGAGGGGGCAGTAAACCTGCCATATCCCCCTCTGTTTTAAATAAATGAAACAATACCTTTCCATTCTCACTGTGTGTGTGTGTGTGTGTATTTGTTTTTTCCTCTTTCTAGCCATGGATGTCTCCAGAACACAGCAGACTTCTTTCAGTGCAGATGCTTTGGAATGTTCAAGCCTAATGTTATTGACTGGAGCAAGCAATACACTCTGAGATTTCATTCACTGAAAGATCAGAGCACTCATTCTGTGTGAGGAGAACTTGCACAAGATCTTTGGGATATATTGGATACTTATAGAAAGTTGTAATATGATATACTGTAGAGTATATGGCAAATTTTGTAATTTCTTTGCTATATCTCTCATTTCTATTTTGGGAAGAAAGTAATGTTTACATGTATAAACTGTATTAAAACATATAATGCAAAGAAAACTGGTTGATATTTTCAAATTGTCTAATTTGGAAGGAAATACAACTGTGAAATACAATTTTTAAAAGTGAAAGCTGTCTTTTTTTAAAAAAAATAAAGCAACCTGGAAATCCTATGCATTATTCATACATGTCTGCCCATTGAAGTTTAGTCTTAATGATTAAGGAAAATAAAATATGTTTTGAAATGTCAACGTATTTTAGTATATGAAACTCAGTTTGTAAACTTTAGTGATTTATCTCTCTGTATTGTAAATCTGTGTATAAAGGCTGCTCAGATTTAATATATTTATGATCACATTTATTAAATTAGATCTGTTTTGTATTTATAAGTGTATTGCTGGCTTTTAAAATGTTCAAGGACTATCATTTATACATCGAATAATGAGTAGTTATGGTCATAAATACAGTGATAATGATAATATTTAAATTGTGGTAATGTATTTAGAAATAGTAGGCAGAAGACTGAATATGAGTTCCCAAAATGCTTGTAACATTTTCAAGATACATTCCAGCCTGCAAGCGCAGTTATGTTAACTCTTCTGCATTTCTTAATATTGAAGAGAAGCTCTACTTGTATGTAGCTGTAAAGTGATGCCAGCCATGTTTCACATGCATCAAGAGCATTTGCACCCCGTGGTTCAAGCTGGAGCTAAATCAGACTGAGCTAAAAATGAACACTGTTGAAGAGTTGCGATAGCACAAGATAGTGTGAGAGACAGCATGGTGTACTGGTTTGATTGTTAGACTATAAGTGGAGACCATGGTTTGAATTATCACTTAGCCATGGAAACCCACTGGCAAGTCACATTCTCTCAGTCTCGGAGGCAAAAGCAAACCCCTCTCCAAACGAATCTTGCCAAGAAAACCCTGTGATAGGTTTGCCTTAGGGTCATCATATGTCAGAAACGACTTGAAGGCACACATCAACAAATAACAATTTGCATTATTGTAAGAATAATGCCCATGTACATTATTGTAAGAATTATTTTGGTCATTGTGTAGGTTGCAATTCTTGACTAATTGCAGTGATCAAAAGCCTCTCCCTAACCCTCCTTTTCATGGCACCCCATGAATTTTAAACAGTTTTCTTGGGCAAAGAGTGATCAGAAGTGGTTTGTCATTGTGCTCCTCTGAAATACAGCCTACATCAGGGGTAGGCAACCTTTCCCCTTTAAGGGCCAAGGGACTTCAGCTCCCAGAATCCCAGAAACTATTGGCCAACATGGGACTATTGGCCAACATGGCTGAGGCTTCTTAAAAGGGGCCCTTAAAAGGGGAAAGGTTGCCTACCCCTGGCCTACAGTATTCCCTGGCAGTCTCCCATCCAAGTACTACCCAGGGCTGACCCTGCATAGCTTCCAAGATCAGTACTGTAGGCCCCAACCCACTGACACAGCTATTTCTGGATCGAGTGTACGAGGGATCAGCATCAACATGTGCATCTACTTCCCTTCAAAGAGGTAGCTTCACACATCACTTGAGATCTCCTGACGTAGAAATGGATGTTAGGGAAGGGACCATGGAACTAAAAATGTGGGTTTGGGGATTGCGTCAAGGAGATTTGCACAGTTCCCCATGCAAAACTACTCTATATCTCCTTGATGCAGGATTCTGGTCAGCATTGAAAAGCAGGACTAAATTAGTAAATAGTGCATATCTTGCTAATAAGGGGACTGAATGGAAAATTAGCTCGAGGTTGTTGGCTTTTTGCTGTTTTTGTGCAAAAGGTTCTTCAGTTACAAGACAAGTTCACGTTCTTTAGTAGAAAGGTCCATACTTTTTTAGAGGGAAAGAAATGAGCCGGCATAGTGTAGTGTTTTAAGTTGTCACTTTGTAATGGTGCTCACTAAACAATGTTTGGCCTATTTTGCACCCTGTT